CTGTATACACACACACACACACATGGGATTAACCTCATAGATCCCTGAGACGGGGGCTCCCCTGTCATCGATGCAAAGCCCAATAGAGTATAAACACTGAGGCAAGACAGAACAGAGACTAGGGCATTCAAGAGAGTAACAAACTGTCTTTGTTCCAAAACCTAGTGAACTCTACTGCCTATAAAGTCCGCTGCCTTCTAAAGCGGCATCCAAACTGATAAGGAACTGGTTTGGAAATTTTAAATAAGCAATAATGTCATACAAATAGCCCTACTGTATACTCACACAAAGCTGCAGGCTGAGTTGTCTCACAATTGATTTCAATAGTTTTGTGCTAGCATGTTCCTAAGCTAACAGTACAAAACTCTAATAAGAATAAACATTAAAATACAGGTGGCAACCTAATGTGAATGAAGTCCAAAAAAACAACCCAGGCTCATTGGAAAAACATGGCTATGGTGACATTTCCGCAAAATGACAATATGTTGTTTCTTGTACGTTTTATGCCATTTCAGATTTAAATGTTTAGTGAGTGGCATTTAAAATCATGTTACATTTTGTTCTAAACAGATGAATTTGAATGTGGCAACATTTTATTATGTTGGTTTTATGCATCCTGGCAGTTTGGAAATGTCCAGGGATTGATGCTAAAAGGTTAATGCTCTGTTGTCTTATCGTACTACATACACTAAACCCTAAACCCAACTGGTAGGGTTGTAAACACAAGATAAAACCCATTTGCAGAAGCAACCATGTCATTTTTACTTGCTTCTACAATTCTTTCAGTACTTTTATCATGACTCATATACGAGTGCAATGCTGTACCAAGTGGGCTTCCAAGCAAGTTTACTATGTCAGGAAAGCCATACATATGGAGCTGATTATTTGATGCAAACATCAAATTGTATTACGAATTATTTTACGCACGCAAATAAGTCATTATTAATTTATAATCTGTCCCGTAATCATAATTTGTGTTAAAAGGAATAAAATTGTTGGCGTTTTACTGCTACTAGTGTTCATTTAATTGTATAGGTATGTTTTCCAATGAGCCTGTGTTGGCAAAATATGTATCAATTACTTGTTCAAATAAAGAAAAATACAAAATGCAGCCCATAATACACTAGAAAACTCTGTTTCTTTATCAGAAAGGTGTCTCAAATCACAAAAGCAATTCTTTTGTGAGGGAAACTGACAAATCTTCCCTGAGAGCCTGAAAATATATTCTTTAGGGAGGGAGAGAGGCAGAGAGCAGAGGTCAAGACCTGCTATGGGAAAAGTATGCAGGCTATGCACGCTCTGTTTGGGCCCAGGATCCCTGTGACCTGCCATTGTTCACCCTTTGACATTGAACTTGGAAGAGGGGAGCAGAAAGCGCGCTCGAGCCCTGTAAAACACATACACACAAACATGCCACAACCCATAGTGCCCATCCCCAAGTCTTAAGGGCTTTTATCTCAACTGTCAACAATTTAAAAAGCTGGATCCTTTTCTAAGGCTGGACTTTAATCACCTCTAGGTCAGTAAACATAAAGAGCTAAAGTAAGGGCAGGGAGATAGATAAAGAGACAGAGAGAGAGAGATTACTTTGTCACATTGGTGTCAGTCCACAAAGGAAAAGCAAAGAGTGCAAAACTGAAAGAAAAAAGAGGCTGTTAAAGTTATAAAACAGACACCCAAATGACCATACAAAGCCTGAGACAAAAGATGAAGCAGCCAACTTCCGTCTTTTCGTCTGGGTCCAAAGCAAACACACCTGGTGTTAATACTCATGTGTACACATCCACTCGCATGTGGGCTGTGGCGGAGCATAAAGGCACCGGCTTTTTTTTATACACACAATTTCAACAAAAACTCAGTTACATTCAAAATTGCACCCTGTATATTAGTTCGAGCAACTTGAAATTTTCCTCTTTTTCCCCCTCACTTTTATCTTTGTTCACACTTTTAAAAGTAAGACTAAATCAGGTGTTTTGTCAAGTAACTGAAATAAGTTTAAGTATTAAAATGACTAAGACTGTATATATAAAAAATAAAATGTCATAACGTGACAAAAGCACATAACCAAATTATTAGTTAAAATTGAAAATATAAAAATAAAAGCTAATTATCAAACTATCAAAATAGTAATAAGTACTATAATAGTATATAAATAATACTAAAATAACACTAATGAGCGATGACCACTTGAATAATAATAATAAAAAAAATATTAGAAAATGGATCAAATTAAATAGACTTTAATAAAGCTGAATGTAGTGAAACCAGTGTGTAAAAATAAAAAAAATAACTATCATAAACCTCTAACAAAAAAAGTATCAGTGATTACTTTGTTTGTGTAATAAGTCCCAAACTGATTTTCTGTTTATTTGGGGGAAAATATTGAAGAATGGAATTAAATTTGGTCAGATGTGTTAAACAGAGCTGAGAGTACAGTACACCCTTATATTGGTAGCTAAAAGCATAATCACATTAGGTGAAATATTTAATAAAGAAACATGCAAGGGGGAAGTGCAGAACATTACGAATGACAGACAATCCAATTCTGTGGAAATCTGCAGGAGTTCTGTGGCCGTAGTTTCCGGGTGGGTCTGGGCATTAATAAAACAAACCAAGACAAACTGTGCAGTTGTATTTCAAAATGCATTTTAAATGTATTTATTGACTCTTGATTCATTGCATATGACATCCATTCTTTCAAAGATGACTGGAATGTTTCAGGTTGTGGGGGAGACAGGGACAGTTCAAAATAAAGAAGGAAACCCACTAACTATGAAACTTTACTTCATATCCAAAGGCCAGAGATGATAAAACCACCTGTTCCTCATCATCGTGTTATTTCAAAGAGGATTGTGTCAATAGACCATTGTATAGCCTTTTTATCTGTATAACCCCCACATAGCTTTTTCTTAGAAACTCATTTTCAAGATCCATACATTAAAATGATTCTCACTATATTATCCTGCCAAGTTAAGGAGAAACGCAAAATGGCAGCAGCATGCTGAGCTCAACTACAGGTATTTTTGTACCTTTAAAGTGAACAAGGAACAGTCTGGAATTCTAGTCTCTATATAAATACTATCTTGACTACCGTTGATGAACAATTAAATCCAGATCTTCTCTACACACTGACATGGTAAACTGAAGTGTGTCACAATAGCTTTTGACAGACCATAAGTCAGCCCTATAAAATGTCAAATGTACTCCTACAATCTCATTATAATGCATCCTGAAGGACTGTGTATGACAAAGAGGGGAAAAAAAATTCACAGAACATTTAGTATTTACATAGTACATTGTAACCCACCAAGAAATAAAGATGAGCGGCAAAAAAATGGAACACTTTTTAAATTAATTTCCTGTTAAAAACACCATAGTATTACAAAAGACATTTAATTATTCATATATTTTAAAAAGTACAATAAAATGGCTGTTTAAGTAGCAGGTTTGGAGTATATTCACTGAGATAAACATACTTACTGTTCCCATTTAAAGTCTAGCTTCTAAATGAACAGTCGTCTTTATCATTTTTTTTCTTTTTAAGCTTCTTTTAAGTCCTTTTTTGCTGACCACGATTTCTAATCTAACTCTATTTCACATATGTTTACACCTCATCAAGTTGATCATATGAGAGGACGTATAAGTGTCTCTTGTAAACAGGAAAAAAATTGAACAGTGCAGATTTTTTGTGCCATTGGAGAGCGGTTTCGTTTTATACTCAACCACCTGCCCGTAGATTAGCAGGACAGATACAGAGTTTTAGGCTGAGTGGCAAGTGCTATTCATAAAATTCACTATGGGATAATGAAGAGAATAAAAAGTCTGAATGTCAACTCGACGGGTACAAAATATGTGAGAGTGGCTAAGTGCTTTACTAATAAACGGGTATATACAGTACATAGCTTTAGAAACTGAAGAGTGTAGGATAAAATAAAACGTTGTGGAAGTACACAACAGTTTGCAAGCAAGTTAACTGTAAAGTATTCAGACTTTCATCCAATAATGTGTAAATGTCCTGAAATACGTTCCGGCATTGCTCCATCAAAACTGGTGTTGCTAAACTACTTCTATTTCTAGCCAATCTGAGCTTAATTTGAAATGTAAAGGATTTTCAATCCAGACAATTCTTTAACAGCTTATTCGGGGACTGTTTGTTAACTTTCCGTGGATGACCCTGTCAAGAAATTAATTCTATAAAAATTGACATATTTACATAATATGCTTTTTGTTCCATGCACCAAATAGAAATTTATCAGTATAGTCCAATTAATTGGCTATCTACTGAGTAAAACACATTTTCAGGGCTACTTTCTAAAAAAAAAAAAAACCTTCATAGAAAACCCAAAGAAACATTGAGACCCTAAGTTAAAAGAAAACTTACTAATGTACCTGTCCATTTGATACCAAAACACAAGGTAGAATCTCACCAAGGCATGAACATGCCAACAAAAGAATCATACTTAAAGAAACACAACGTTATACTAGTAAATGATATACATAAGAACATATGCTGGATTCCTGCATTTAGCGAATTCACAATAGGTACTTGATGCAAGAACCTAATTTTGCATTGAATAATATCCCCAGGCTTATGGCAAATGGCAGAAACCGCAGATGCTTTAAACACCCAAGGCACTCTTTTTCACAAGCAACAATAACAATTTTAGTATTTTAGTAAAATGTTACCGTTTAAACGTTCGGCGGTAACTCTACAGTTCGTCTATACCCCTAATGAACAGTGTAAACCCCAGTGTGAATGTAGGTAGTCAAAAGATTACTGCTTAAATGACAAAATACAACTAGGTATGATATGTAAAAATTAATTGTTTGCAGCATGAAATGTCCTGTTTGATAAAACACAGCTAATGCTTATCAATCAAGCTAACACATGAAAACATGCCAACCAGTAAGAAAAGAAGTACAAAACATTTAGTTATTGCACATTAGAGAGGCTCAGAGTCTTGCGTCATTTTGAAAACTTTCGGCCAGCATAATTAACTGACGCTGTGCTTTAAATATTTTTTTTTCCTAGGACTGCGACATCATAAAGTTTACTCCATTTTAATTTCAATGCTTAATGGCCGATCGTTGTGCCATTTTTTCATGTGTTTCTCCAGAGTGCTGTAGACGCTAAAAGGCATGTGGCATATCTCACATTTGTAAACGTCCTTGCCTGTCTGTCCATGCGTCTTCATGTGCCGTGTTAGCTTGCTGCTCTGAGCACAGGCGTAGCTACAAAGCTCACACTTGTACGGCCTCTCACCAGTGTGGCTGCGCCGATGCACTGTCAAGTTGCTGCAGTTTTTGAAGACCTTGCCACAAAACTCACAAGTGTCACTACGTCGACTATCCTTGGAGCTGGGTCGACCAGTGGAAAGGTGGGGTGTACTGGCCCTACTTCCCGTGCCACTGCGCCCAGAGGCTGTCCCTCCATCTAGCTCCCCAGGGGGAGTGGAGAACCTGAGACTTCCATTCTCCGAGGAGTGCTCTGAAGACGTGGCGAAAGGTGATTGTCTTGAGTCCCCAAAGTTGAGAATAGGATCCTTGAGCTGGCGTGACGCTGCGTATCCAGCCAGCCACTGTGAGTAGACATTTTCTGAGTTGGGGATTGTAGGAGTTGGAAGATCAAGGTCCTTTTCCACCTTGATGCGTTTGGAGAGAGGGCTGTCGGATTCTGGACTTCCGACAAGAACTTTCCTTGAAAGGTCATCGTTTGGGTAGGAGGCTGTTCCATTTACAATGGGTAGGTATCCCTTGTTGACTTGATCAGGCTCTTGTGGGGATTCGTCCCCACCTGTCACACTAGCTGATCTGTGGTCCCCTCGTTTGTAAAGTTTTTGGGCATCTCGATAATCCTGAATTCCCTCGACACATTTGTTGTGTCGCTGTCTATTGTTCTCATGGTGACGTGCACCTTCTAGGCTCAGGCTAAAGTTTATATCATTCCTCTCGCCGACCTCACTCTCATTCTCTTCCTCCTCCTCCTCCTCTTCTTCTTCTTCCTCCTCCTCTTCCTCCCCTTCCTCCTCTTCATCATCCTCCTCCTCCTCGTCATCTTCTTCATCTTCCTCCTGTCCATTTTCCGGGATGATGCCGTTGTTTTCACTTTTAAACTTTGCCACCACAGATTTCAGAGCATTGGTGGCACTGCTTAGCAAATCACTTGTGCCTGGCTCAGGTGAACTGGCAGTTGAAAGGCCATCATCTGATTTGGAGGTAGTAGAGGAGGATTTGTGCCGATGAGTCTTCATGTGGCGCTTCAACTTGCTGGCCTGAGTGCAGGCGTGGTTACAGAGGTGGCACTTGTAAGGTTTCTCTCCGGTATGACTACGCCTGTGGACGATTAAGTTGCTCTGGAATTTAAAGGACTTTCCACAAAACTCGCAAGACTTTGCCTTCACAGCTGGCACAGATGGAGTTTGTTGAGTAGGTGCTGAGCGAGATCCAGAAGGAGAATGAGACACCCCTGGTTGGAATGGCTGCAGTAGCCGTTGCATAGGGCTAGGCCTGTTGGGTGACATGGGCGGAGAGGACCCAGCAGAGTTGCCTGCTAGTTCCCGTAGTCGTCTCGAGAAGTCCATAGATGGGGAATCCAAGGGTACCGAATTAAGACGCATTACCCTGTCAAAGGCGCTTGGGTGGTGGGGGGCCAAAGCCAGATCGTCTGGGCTCATGTGATGCCGTGGTGGGGGACTAAAAAGCGGAGGTGTCCTGGGATATCGGCCTTCTCTAGGAACCGAGGACCCATCGCTGTTGGCTATCCTCATCAGGCTATAGGGACTACTGTCTGCCAGGTGGGCTGCATGTAGCAGTGGCTGCGAGGCACAGTCACCACCCATGCCTGGAGCGGAGGCCACCCGAGGAGTTAACGGGCTTCCAGGTTCGCTCTCCAGGTATATTCGGAAACCATGGGTATTCTGGGCATGCTGTAGCAGGAACCAAGCCGTGCTGAAGGGCTGCTTACAAGTTGTGCAAGTGTAGCTACTGGGCTCATCTTTTTCTGCAAGACAAAATCAGAGGGAGAAGGTTAGTTGTCCATTTAGGAAATGCTCCTATTTTACTACAAAGGCTCAGTAAGATCTCTCCATAGAAGTTGATCACACACATTTACCAGCACATTTATTGCAAGAAGTCCCCTTGGAATTGCAAGTGCAACCGTGCTTAGCGGCACAATTGTGAAGCTCAAACCAGTAACCTCTCACTTTCTGACTCTGAGCTTTAGCCACTACCTCTATCATCCAATGTATTAGCTATTATTGCTATTACAGTTATGTTCTTACCTTAAAATCTTGACATCATAAATCACATCTGTAAAGGCTAAACTCGAGATACGGTAAGCCTTTGAAACTCGAGGTATGGTTGTTCAGTTTCTGTATGAACATCACTCCATATGTAAACTGCCGTGCCTGTCTTTGAGATATCTGACACAAAGGCCAGAGTGAACAAAAAACCTGTACCCAATCAAAACACTTTTTACTGCATAAGAGATGCAAGGGGAGGCTGGTAAATTATGGATCATTACAATCTGCAAAAATTACAGTTAATTGCTGCCACCTGTGTGGGGTTTGACCTCCTGGGGAGATTTTCCTTCATAAAAAGGCCATTCTTTGCCTGCATGTCTATTCTCATGCTTACTCCAATTAAATCATATACCATTATCGCATGAATCATACGAGCAGGCCAATGCTTATATTTGAAGAATTTAAAATACATGCTTTTCTATAAGACAACAATCATTACAGTGTATAATGTTCCTCATCACTAGTACAGCAATAACTGGCAAACTGTATTGAGGATTTCCAATGTACATGACAAAAAAATAAGGATAAAGGTTTAACTAATTTTTGGTGATCTTGTTAGCTTTCATACTGCATACACAAGCAAACACAGGGAGCACACCCCAAGCATTTCCTGTCTTTTAACACCTTGTGTTAAAAGGAGTTTTCTGAACTCCAGCGAACAACAAATCCACTTCTTAAGTGGGTCTAGGGTAAAGTTCATGGTAACTGGTATGAAAGCAATCTGCCCTAACTTGTAGTAATGAACTACTAATTGCAAATTGCATTCAGAGAGCAGCTCACATTCTTTGCTTGTATTTCAGTGCATTTGCAGCAGATGAAAACAAAAAGCCGTTCCATTCTGTGTAAATGTATTGTTAAATCTAACAAGACAATTACAGTAGTGCCCCAAAATACTATGTGCAAGAGAAGCGCAGGGCAGGGAGAGAAATAAATAAATCATACTTAAGTTTGGACCAAGCAATCAAACAAAGTGTGAAAACAGCCTAAAATAAGAGAAGTGTTCTCCCTAGCCATATAATCATCCTGCGTCGCTGACATTTAAAACACCCACCTCACCAACAGCAGCTATTACTTGGTGGCCTTGTCTGAGAGGCCGACTTATTGATTACTTTCAACCTTTTTCCTTTCAGCACATGGCCGACAATCACATTTTCTTTAGTGATATGCTAAAAGGTGAGGGGAGGTCTGGCAGAACAATTTGTGGGCATTTGTCCGTCCAGATTTTGAGAACAGGAAAGAAAAGAGCCGTTTTGTATCTGCTTGGAGCATCAGCAAAATATCCTTTTCTAGGATAAATTGTAGATTGTATGCATTTTTATGTGATTATATATAGTATAATATAATTCCATTCATACCAAACAGTAAGCCTAGAAGCAGTCTGTTTTTTTTTTCTTTCATTCTTTCTCAGTTATTCTCTTTTATTCTGTGTTGCATTGAACGCCTGACCACAGACAAAAAACCTATTTGACAAATACAAACACTTCAAGGACAGATTAGTGATATGACATTTTCATTGCTCTACAAGACTTATGTGGAGAGCAATCGCACTTGCATCAACTTTTTCCGTTTGAGGTACAATACATAAGACATTTACCCATCAATTTAAATTGTTTTAGTCTTTTTCGCCTTTTTAGTTGTTTGCAAATTTTTTTGCGCAAGGTTTATCTCCTATTTAAATTGATTAGAGCAACTGACCTGTATTGAATGTATTATCCAATATATATACAGTATTTGCAGATCTACCATGTGTAAAGACTTCCTTCCAGCTACAGATAAAAATACATGGAAATGGTGTTATTGCAACCTCTGCACTTTAGGTTATATCAGGTTATGCCTGAATCGCAGAGCACTACATGCAAGTCACTGCACAAGCACTCAGACCCTTTATTATACAGTCCTTTTCTTAAATACACAAAGATAAGCATCAATCTGAAACCAAAGACTTGAACTTTGTGCTTAAAAGTCGCAGATCTGAGTATTTGACACCATGAAAACACGTTCAAGATTTACTATTTGAGGACCACGATGAGGCTACAATTATGCATAATTTACCAGAAAATAATTACACTTCACTCAAGCATCTGTGCCGTCACACCTGACCCTAGTTTAATCTAGACATGATTACTCTCATATTCAAATCAATGTAATGAAATGCTCCAAGTGCCATATGGATACTCTGGGGACAAGGTGAGAAAAACATATTTGGCCACAAGAAAGAATGCGTTCATCTGGCAGCTGGTATATTCTTGTCAGTGCCCATAAACATGTATTGGTCCAAGGGTTTAATTTCCAGCGATCTCAATACCAGCGCTGGACACACACCCTACCCCCATCACAAATTGAAAGTGTCTAAAAGGGTAGCCATCTTGGAATGGGGCCTCTCATAGAGCGCCATGCAATGGGTCAGCAGTCACCTTAGCAACGCACATTAAAGAGGCGGACAGACAAAAAAAAGTGGACCAGACGGAGAGGTGAAGGGGATGGCGTTTAAAGCCCACAAATGGGTGGAGGGATCAGCTGGGGGAGGTGGCAGTCTGAGAAAAGTAAAGAGGTGGCTACTGGGAAAGATGAACTAGACTAGTCTGCACAGGGCAGAGGTGGAAGTTTTGTTAGCATACAGGACTGTCCCACAGACAGAGCAAACACTGAAGCCTGAAGACCAGTGAAGAGGGGAACATATGGTGGAGACAGTTTGACTCCAGCAAATATCTATGAGCAATAATCTGCTTCTTATGAAATACTCATTAGAAAATGGTTCGTTCTGTTTCTAAAATCTGACTGGACGAGCCAAAGCTGTTGTAAATCAGTTAAAGCAACCTCAAACAGAATTGTATCGTTCATGCTTCATTAAAGAGCGAATGTCACAAAAACCTATAAAAAAAGATTTCAAAATAAAACAAAATAAATAAGATGCCTAATAAGCCTATTTTAAAGATTCATGACAATTAAGCACATGTGAAAAGTATATATCATGATCATTGGCAATATTTGTTGTACTGCCTTTATTTTATGCTTTAAAGGGGTCATATGATGCGATTTAAATTTTTCCTTTCTCTTTGGAGTGTTACAAGCTCTTGGTGCATAAAGAGGACCTGTAAAGTTGCAAAGACTAAAGTCTCAAATCCAAAGAGATATTCTTTATAAAAGTTAAGAGTCAACCACGCCTACCTAAAACGGCTCGTTCTAACACGCCCCCACATATCTACGCCATGATGTGGGAAGATTTGCATAACGCCGCCCAAATGTTCACGCAAAGAAAGAAGGTGTAACTTTTATTCTCGCTGTAGTATTGTTGTTGCCGCCGCCATGTCGTGAAGGCGCTGTGTGTTTCGCTGTGTGTTTCCATCACACGCTTGAGGTATTCGGCCAATCACAATGCACTGGATAGCTGGCCAATCACAGCACACCTCGCTTTTCAGACCGATGAGCTTTGTAAAAATCGACGCGATTCAGAAAGGCGGGGCATAGAGGAGAAACAATAATATACAGTATGTGGAAAATAATGTGTTTTTTTAACCTTAAACCGCATAAACACATTTCATTACACCAAATACACAAAATAATGTTCTTTTTAGCAACATCATATGACCCCTTTAAATTTCAAAAGTCATTGTATTACAGAATTTTTAAATCACCACTGAGAATCACATAAGAAAATTGCAATAAGTGAAGTGAAATTGCATTATGTACAGATAAAGTGTGGGGAAATGTGCTTTTTTCATGAAAATAAGAATTTCAGAAAGCAAAAAAATCTTAAATGTCTGAAATAGGCTTCAATTTCTTTATGCAAAATATTTAATATGATTTTGTGGTAAAATGACAAATCATTTTTGTGAGATTCATCCTAAAACTGCAAACAGCCAGTGCATCCTAACAAGGCATAGTACGGTGAAACAGAGAAGAGGAGATAAACTGTCAAATGTAAATCTGAGTTTTTTTCCTTAACCACACACAACCAGGATGAGGACCTTTTTGTCGATCGCATTGTGCTGGGTAGCCCAATCCATTGATCCAAAATCATGCTTCACATTACTTTACATTAAACATTAAATATCTGCTATTGTCGTTGATAATAACTCCACTTTGTGCCAAGGTTAACAACACCCTTAACCATGTAATGCTTGGCCTTGAGTGGCTTACTGCTTTGTTTAGAACTGTTAGTCTAAAGAGTTCCTGAAAGTCCATTAACACAGCTGGCCTTGTGCATTGATGTATAGAGGTGTACAGTGAGAGGTCCAGTATAGCTCTAAACCTTACCACCATGCCAACATTTCCACACTGCTCAACAAAGATTATTTCAAGTCATCCTGTCCCTTTCTTTGCATTCTCCTGATCCATGAGAGGACTACAGGCTTAAACGGGCATGTGATAGTCAGGCCTAGTGAGAGGATTCATTCAGGAAGCCCCCCTCAGGCAGAGCTCTGGTACTGGGACCAGTACAAAAAGACCAGTGTTCCCCATTCACATTACAGCCACGGGGTCAATATTTAAGGCTTCCCATCTGGCGCATCCCGGGCACAAGTTATGTAGTAAATCAAACTAGAATTAAATGAAATAATTTCTAAATATATCAAGACAACTATAATTAAGTCATCCATACATGGTAAAAAATTGTCAAAGTTTTTTTAACTATTTCAGTCTTTCTGCTTCAAAATTTCATGTTTAATTCAATGTGCCATTTTGTTGTAATTACTTGTGA